TGCGTTTGTATTGTTACATTTGCGCTCTAATGCTTTCAACCCTCTTCGGATCGCCTTCGGATCGTGGGCTTCGAATGGATTGCGTGTAGTTTCATTTGCCGCACAGCAGGAGTTGTGCTGCCACGTCGTTGCAGCTCGCGCCGCCGCGTCTTCGTAACTTGCAAGAAGTTTGGTGTCAACATCCTTTGGTTGGTCTGTGGTGCGTGTAGCTCGATGTTGTCCCGTTTTTCGAAAAGATGTTTGTAGTGCTGTGGGAAGTGTAGTCGCAGTGACGAGCAATGGCTCATCAATGCCACTGTCATCACTGTTTGCGTCTTCTGCGCCGCTCGGGCGTACACGGTACACTGAAAGAAAGTTACCGACGTAGTGTTTTGTGTCTTCGCATGGGAGATGCGTCAACCACATGCGTAACGCATCAACCCAACTTTCTGCTGCCGCTTTCAAACGACCGACAAATGGCACATTTCCCGATGCCATAGGTGCTTGCAACGTCCATGCTCGAAAATAGGTCATCGTCAATCTTGCGTTCGCTTCTCGTTGGCCGTCCTTGTGCAAAGGAACGGGCGAATTTTCAAAGTGCGGGCAGCATGGGCGAAGACGCCGTTGGAGATAGCAACGATGTCGCAACTGTTTCGTTGCGGTGGTCTCTTGTAGACCAATGCGATTGGGTGTCCATGACACTATTAGCTGGTAATCGCGTTCCGGTTGCAACTGTATTTTCTTATCTGGGTCCGTTTCTCGCTGCATTTTTTGAATACCAGCTGGTGTTAGGGTCACATCCCAACTTGCCTTATCTTCGTGCTTCCATTCACGTTGTGTTGTTGGCACGCGGGCAAGTGTGACCGCCCATTCCGCAACAAATTCATACGGTGACAACCACCACACTTCGGACGCAACAGGTCGGTGACCGTAAACTTGCACAATGTCGACGGCACCTAGATGTCGGACACCAGAGGCTTGTCGCCGTGTCCACTTTGTGGTGGCGCGCTTGGTTGCTGACGTGCTAGCGGCTTCATTGTGATACATCGCTACGAACTCTGCAAACGCAGCTCCAGGGAAACTTTCAAATGTTGTTGTCGCAATGCGCTCAGCTGCAACTACTGCACTTTCGCGATGATATGCGCGCAAGTTACAGCATTCCACTTGCCCGCGCACAACACCTTTTAGGTATGCATCACTTAGAAATCGGTTTGCATGTCGCTTGCCCACATCGTCCAAAGCTTTCCCACCATGTTGCGCATGCAACTGTTCATGTCCTTTCTGAAATTCCTTGATTTCTCCGTGTCCCATAGGCTGACTCTTGGAGCAATAATCCGCACAATACCCGGTTTGTGCGTCTTGTGCCCTTTGCGCCGCAAGTGAAATCTCGTGGCGTTCTTGCGTCGTAAGGGTGTCCCCGCAGGTTCGACAGGCGTAGGGTAGTCGATATGGAATTTGGACATCACAATTGGCACCGCGCAATCCGGCTAACATGGCCGGTGCACAACCATTCAACCACTCGTGCCCGCAAGGACCATGTAAAGCTCCTAAACGATTTTTCCGTCCGCCAACAGGCATACCATGCAATTGGAGTTTGCAGGGGCATAACACGGTTGCTTCTGAGCAGAGCCACTGGGTGCGAGGAAAATCGCTCTTGCACAACCCGGGCCGATCACTTTTTTGACACCCTGCTAGTGGAACGCGTTCTTGCGTGACTTCATTGTATGGGTGGTAGTGATGCAGTTTTAGAAGCTGCAATTGGACAACGTCGTTTTCTAAGTACTGTCTTCGCCATTCGGTCGCCTCTGCTTCTAGATCGTCTGCTGCCGCAGCCCGACGCAAGAGATAGTCGGGCAGCTGGGTCATAGTCACATCGTGCTCATGCGATGGCCATGACGCTTCAGCAGCTGCAATTCGCGCATCCATGCCGGCAAGGGACTGGCCCGCATAGGTAGCGTGGCACACATGGGCGTTATATGCTTCGTATTCCCGACGCAAAGCGTCAAGGCGCGGACGTGAAAATTCAAAAATTTCTGCCAGCGAGGTATGCTGATGCAGACATTGAACAAACACTTGCATGTGCCCATGCTGACCACCTGTGCTCTTTTGCGCCTCTAAGGAAATGTAGACAGCATCTACGCGCCCAAAAATTCCGCCGCTTGTCTCTGCATTGCTGCCGCGTAAGTCTTGACAGGGCTCTAAGCCACAAAAGCGGTTGCAATCAGGACAAAAAGGACAAATACGCACACCAAAAAGGTGCTTCAACATTAAATGTGTGAGCACGCGAAAACCATCCACTGCGGCCAGAGGATCCCTTGCTAAAACTTCGCGACGCTCTGCCCAAGACATGGGTAACGTGAACTCATATTCAAATGGACCAGGCGTCGCAGCACTTGCTGTGCCGAGATCAGGGAAAAACATGTCGCCGGCTGGAAAATCTTGCGCGACAGATGCAGCACGTACAGGATCAGATGCCCGAACTCGTGTCATGCGAACAAAAAGCAACTGATGTGCCTCATCTGGCGTATAAGTGACGAACAACGGTACCCCATACCGAATTCGCATCGCCTGGATTTCGAACCGCATTCTCTTTCGCGCTTCCTGTGTGCCTGGTAACCCCTGCGCTGTATGTCGCATGTTCGTCAACAATTTTCGCGCCATCGGCTTCAAGCCTTGCACATATCTGAGCTTGGAGACATCTCCTTTGATTGGGCGCGGTTGACCTGTAACATCTATATAAGAGCCCTTCAGGGCGAGCAACAAGTCTTGTGCCGCCTGTTCCAGGTGCTTTCCTGTCGGCTGCACCCACTCTTGGGTTTCTTCATCGTAGAAGCTCCGCGAGTATGCATCCGTTGTTCGGGACAGATTCAAAGCTGATCGAAACAGCAGATTCCACGACGTAAAGCCAAAAACCCAATCACGACTGACTTGCGCCTCGATGCGTCGCGCCATGACTTTGACCCATGTATTTAGCTCGACGTGCGGATCTTCCGTGTGGCGTCGAAGCCGTTTCCGTTGGCTCCACTTGGGCACATCAGGCAAACCAATGCCATAGGGGAAGACAAAAGGAAAGGCTAAAGCAAAGTAAAGTGGCTGAAATTGATCCAAAAGTTTGGTGCCCGTATACAGTGTCACTTCTGGAAGAGGCTGCGCGGGCGCTGGCTGACTGCGGGTCACAATGTCTTCCAGTGCAGACACGTGTAGTGCATTTAGATCGTGACTTCCTGCAGTTGTTTTCTCTAGAACGACCGCGTTCGGTTTCAGCAAACGTCCGAACTCACAACTCACTTGTGCTTCAGACATTTGGTCATTGAAGGGCGTAGCTGCTTTTTGCCGCAAGACGTGATTAAGACTCCCATCGTTATCCAATAAGGCAATGATTTCGGCGGGAACGTCATTTTCTGGTAACATTTCGGCACGTGCTTCCACGAGTGCCATATCTATTCCTTTGTACGCAGGATGGCTTCGCGCAACCATTGTTGCGATTAATCTCACAACGACCTGACGCCGGACAACTGCTTGGTGAATGATGTGTTGACGCATCGCTGCTTTGTCTTTCTTGTCTCCTATTTTTATTATAACGGCAATTTTGTCACTTAATGCTTTGCCTACGTGCGGTAGGCAACCGGCAGGCGTATTCGATGCCAGTTTTTCGTCTAAACGTTGGAATTCGGACAACAAGTCTTCCCATGGCAACGGAAACGTCGTTGCATTTCCTTTGGCGCATAGGCGGTGCCGGTTCATAAATGCATCTTGGGCTAAACTCCGGTCTTGCAGGTAGCGCCATTCAATGCTAAAACACGTCAAGGCAGTCATGCAAGGGCTTGCACACAAGAGTTCTAAGACAGTGCATTCTTGCGCATAGATCTCCCGCGGTGGATGTCCGAGTATCATATCGTTGCTCAATGCTGCTGGTGGTTTGCTCCTATGTCGATACACATAGTTCCAACAAGAGGAACAAATTGGTACTTCGCAGTGCGTGCACACAGACTCCATGGAACAACGCCTGTAGCAAGTTTTGTCTTCGGGACATGCAACCACACGAATCGTGTAGGAAGGGCAAGACATGTTGCATGTCCACTGCCCCAGTTCTGGTTGCAAACTCATCTGTGTGTCGGCCGGGAGGGTAGAAACATAATGGGCATGGTACGTGTGGAACCCTAGCATTTTTTCAAGATCCTCTGCACTTTGCCCAAAAAACTGCCCTGTGATTTGGTCAAAGGCTCGCTGCCACCTAATTTCTTGGTTGGGAGAATCGTGCACGAAAGGGTACCTGCGCGCACAAATAAAACAAATTGCAGCACCGACTTGTTTGCCGCGCAAGTTCAGCTGCAGTCTGCGTAAACATCTCCGGTCAACAGAGCAATTGGCAATGGGTGCCAGTTGCTGACAGTGCCATGTTAGAACCTCGTGATATGCTTGCAAGGTTGCTTTCGGCTCAGGGACTTGCAGTGACCAGTGCGCAGACAAGCTATGTAGAGCGTCTGCGTGCTGATTGGCGATGTGTTCTGCCAGCTCCTGTTGCGTTGCACACTCGTACCTGCAGGCTCGAAAAGCACAATGAAAATCAGGCAGGTCATATGCTTTGAGCGGATCGTCTGCTCTCCAAAAGCGTTCCGGCAAGGTGGGCTTGTCGGACAGCAGAGCAGCCGCGTCCTGTCGTGCCCCATCAGACGCAGCACGTGGATCTTGATTCCCTTGAGAGGGCCTCCAAAGCCGCAAAAGGTAGATATCGCTATCATCGCCCTCGGTTCGCTTCATTGCTATTCCTTCTGCGTGCATGTGCCCGGACTTACGGTCTTCCATGCCGGAACCTGGCGCCGTTTTCTGGCGCAGCCGGCGCAAAGGCACCGCGACATCTAGCTTCCTATCTGTGCTGACGCTGCTTCTTTGCTGCAGCCGCTGCTGCTTTCCCTTTCCTTGGTTCGCTTGTTGGGCTTTGTTTGCGCTGATTGCTGTGCTTAATTTTCTTTTGCCGCATTGCTTTGGGTTTTCATCATTCTTTGTAGACCTGCTCGCGCCTCCTTCATCAGTTGATTGTCCAGGGGGTTCTTTGCTATCGTCCTTGCTATCTGCAGCATTTCTTTGGATGGGCACAGTCGGCGGCAGGTGCTTGCCTTCGTGGTTTGTGGCAGCTGAGGTCGAAGTTCCTGCCAGTGTTTGTCCTGCACCTTGCGTGCAGCAATTCCGAAAACTACGAAATTGGTCTGCTAAGCGGCGGGCGTGATGTATCCCACTATCTGCAAATCTTAACCCTGCTTGCAACAATGTATGAAGACAGATGCCTTCTGCATCCCTGTCTGACCACGCTTCTTGCAAACAACGAACGTCTGCTTTACTGATTTGCACCTTTGCGCCCCGGCTGTCACAAAAGCGCTGCAAAATCTCGCGCATCTGTTCCATATTGGCGCTGGACTCGCTACTCCCTGCATCTGCCGTTCCAAAGACATCTTGCGTCTCTTGGCTGGAACAGCTGCTTACACGCATCAATGCTGGCTCCTGCTGCGATACTGCTGCGGGCGCATCCGGCAATAACGCGGCATACTGACCATTTTGAAAACAGTAGAGTCGGAAAATTGGCACTAGCAAACTGTCGGGTGGACCAATCCTGTAACTGTCTCGTGGTACATTCAAGTCAGTTGTACTTGCATCATGAACATATACATCAGCATTCACACTCTTGTAGCTGGTGCCCAGAAGAAAAAATATTGCGGCCGCAAGGTGGCTTTGCAAGTCGAAAGTCTGTGCTTCTGCCTCGTCCGGCTTTGGCTCCAATTTTAGATGTCTTTGGCATGATCTGCATAGTTGATGTCGTGCTTTCTGCGATGCCATCACAGAAGGTCGCATAGAAAGGTATCCATGAAAAAGCAAATTCAATAGCAATGCTTCAAGCCAGGGGATATCAAAACTAGAACCGCAAAGGCGCCATGCCAGCTTGGCAAATACTGCTTCTGCTCTTCGATCTACATCTTTTTCTGTTCTGTCTATGTTGGCGCTTGTCCTCGTGCTGTCCGTCTCTACGGTTGGTTCAGTTTCACGCACAGTGGTTTGGCGCAACAGACTATCAAAATGATATCCCCTGCCTTGCACAGAGGTGTGATTGTATATATGCAGCTGTAAGGCATGATGCTCGGGGTGCTCGAACCCAAGATGGACAAGAATCTTGTTCCGATCTGGGTCTGCCGTGCACTCACCAAATCGGTCGTGCACACGAATTATCATGTTAGCGCGCGCAACAGCCCGAAATCGTTGCAACAGAAATGTCACAATGTGCGGGCCATCGCGGTGCGCATCTAAATATGGAAAGAATCCCTTCGCGCTTGGAAGTACTGCTTGCCCAACCGCTTGAACCAAATGCTTTCTGCATGCAACTGCACTGCGTCGTCTTGCTGCAACATCTGCGCCCAAGTTGCTTGGCAAAAGACCTTCATACGCTAAGCACAGCATCAAGGAATCGATTAGGCAATTGTTGACGCCGTGTGACAGCGCCTGCTGCCACCTGAACCCTTCAGCTGCCAAAGCCTTTAAAGCTTGGGTATCAGTCATGCTTCGGCCAGGAGCATTTACCTGCGCGATGTCACACAGACGGTCCGCAACTGCAACGCAGTGAGCCTCTGTCGTGCTTGTTTGCAATTCTTTCCAGCCATCCCAAGTGGGCACCCAACTCTGCCCAAGTACTTTTGCTGCGTCCTCTGCTGTTCCAAGTCTAGATAACAAGATTGCTGCTACCAGCTGCTGCGCGTCGTCCCAAGGAAGCTCTACGTCTGCTGCTTCCTGTGGCTGCACCTTCAGGCCTTGTTCGTCATAGTTTCCTATTCCTCTTGGACGGTTTATTCCTCCCGTGCACAAAGTCAGCATTAAGTCGTTAAATGCTTCCTCATTCGTATGTAGCAACCTTTGGTTCTGAAAGGTTTTGCTGAGACATCTTACTGCAAAAGTGTCCTTTACCTCCGCCAAGAAACCATCGTCAGTTGCATGGCAAAGTGCACAGTGGAAGTGTCCGACTTCCCAAGATCCGTGGTTATCGCACGCTCCGCGACCACAGGTGTAGCAGTGCGACACATACTCTTCACTCAATTGTTTTGGGACATATGCTCTCTTATATGCTAAACACATGAAACACTGCAATTGTTCTGTGCCGCCTCCTTGAAATCGCACAGGCAGCGCTTCGCGCATATCAAGTGCATACTGTCTTGGGCATTTTGCATGTTCGAGCTCAATGGGCGGTTTTCCCGTGTATGTTTGAACTACCGACCCCAACGCGTCTGGGGACACATCAATGGTGTTGTTGGCTACTGCCATTCTTGACTCTACTCTCATATCTTCACAGGCTGCTTGCAGCTCAAGCTGCGTCACAAGTTGCATGTTCGTAGCCTTTCTATTGGTTGAGCTTTGAGAACAAAACGTAAAAAATGGAGTTGGCCCGCCACTAACAAACCGGTCTTCTAGGTGCATGCCAAGTTGACACATTGCAGATTGGTTACCTCTTTCTGCCGGAATTCGTTTATCCAACTCGTTATCTGATGAGCCACCTGGGTTGCTTCTGTTACTTCCATGATGTTGATTTGCACCAGTTGTCAATAATGATATAGACACTGGCGCCATCCCACCGTCCGCAAATCGATACTTGTTGTGCTTGCCGCGCTGACAATTTTATGCTACGTTTTCGGCTTTTTACCCGTCGCCGTCTGCCAGCGATCCATCGGCATGGGATTATCTCATTTCTTCTTACGGGGGCACAGCTACTTCCAACATTCGCCAGCTCCATTAGTTGCGAGGATGAGCGTTGGTGTCGAATCTTATTTCCTATCCTGTGCCAACGATCTGCCTCAGCCAGATTGCATGTGCAAAGCTGGCTTTGCTGCGGATTACTCGCGACTTTGAAGCGACACGTAGCCTTCAAGTGGGTGATATCGGAATGCAGGAGAAAACGTTCTAACAACTTTTTTAACCCAATCCTTGCTACAATTGCTGAAATTTTTGCATTTTGGAAATCAAGGACTGGACGTGAGGATAAGAGTAAATACGGCCGAGTCCATTCTTGATACCGAGACAGGACAGCAACAGACCCAACACAGACCTCAGCATATCTGCGGCGTCGACACTGCCAGCAACCCCAATATTGTGTTTGACTATATTTGTTAGTTTGTTCGTGAAGTTTGACTTCGTTGCAAAGTTTGAGATTGGATGAATTTTGACGACGATTTTGGCTCGCCAAGGCCTGAAGACGATTTTGGCTCGCCTGGGCCTGGGGACGATTATGGCTCGCCAAAGCCTGAGGACGATTATGGCTCGCCTGGGCCTGGGGACGATTATGGCTCGCCAAGGCCTGATTTTGGCTCCCCTGAGCCATCATGCTTGACTCATTGACCTTGGGCGGCATACATGCTTTCTTGTTTGTGCGCAAGATGTTGGGACAATAAGGCCTGTACTTGATATAGTCGAAGGCTCAACTTGCGTATCAGTTCCTTCTCGAAACGCCTGAACCTTAAATGCACATAACACTGCGCAGCTGTTCCTATGCAAAAGAAATTCAGAATTTAGCTGCTACTCTGTACCTCTCTGGTGGAATCTGTTTTATAACACGTGAAAACACCATGTTGTGAAAAATCTGGTTTATCTTATTTTGTGGAGCTTCAAACCTAGACACAATAGATTCGAATATAATACACATTCCTGTTCAGATGCTTTTTGAGAACCGAACTTTGGAGCCACACTACTCAGATTGGTTCAAACTTGGTTTTGCCTCAGTGAGGTGAGCATCCATTAGACACGCAAAACCCTACTTTGTTGAACCTAATTCATGCCTGCGTCAACTTCACTCGCACGCAGCAGATCATAACAGTCCAGAAGACATATAACTCTTCAGCTCGTGTAACCTTTTGGAAGCCACATACATTTTACACACAAGGGTAAATTTAGAGCTAAGGTTCAAACCGCAATAGCCTGTATGCTTTCTAGCCCGCAGCGCGTCAGGTCTTGAAAGTTGCTGACCTTCGGCTAAAAAAAAAATCCCCCCAACACAAAAGCTCAATTTTGACTACACAGCACGCGTGCGATGCGCATGCCCAAGGTTCCTACGCAAAACGCGTGCGGAGATGGTGGCTCCCCCCGTCGTTTTGTCAATCTAAGGTGGGGAAGCCAAAAACTGCAACATTCACAAGTCATCACTAGCTACCTATGGCCTACGTACTTGGTGTCAAATTGGCCTTCTTACAGCATATCAGGTGCTTTGGATGCTTTCAATAAAAAACTCTTTGATTTTCGGACAAGTTTGCTATGTCGAATGAACGGCCACGGTAGTCAGTCAATATGTTGAAGCAACTTTTTTTCCATCTTCTAAATGTGCAACATCTCCTTCCATTACTTCTCATGGAAGCACATACGGCATCGGGCTACACTCTCAGAGCTTCGACGACCTATAGCGTGACAGCCAAAGGGTACGATATCACGGAACCTTCAACAGAATGCTTCCGCGATTGCCACACTAAACATCAATGGAGGTCTCCAAAAAATGCTTTGTCGTAGTACTGTGCCACATTCGACATCAGCGATACAATTCTTGGGTATCCAATCTGCAATATTATAAATTATAAGCAGGACATACGATGCTTATCATACTCACACATGTATAGATCCTATGTTAGATATATGTTGTGCCACGTACGAACTTTGTTCAGTAATTTGGCGCTCGTGCATATGGTCCCAAAATGGAAGCGCGCAATTCTTCTGACTATATGGGTTTATCATGTTTCAGACTGTGAATATTTCAATCGCAGTACATCAGCTTGGGTAGGGCAAGTCAATACAATCATCTTGCGCATTCTGCTCAGTGACAAATTTCAGTATTACAGGGATCCTAAAATGGAAGCATGCTTCTCTGTTCACTGACAAATCTCAAACATTGTCCAGCTATGGGTCTGCACTCCGATTCCAAACATCACCCCCAAAAAAATATATGAAACTCTCCCTACCTACATTTTTTTCTCTCTCTCTCTGCAATCATGCGACTCCCAGCGCCACTCTGAGAATCCAGTTGCTTTGCATCTTTCGAACGGATGATCTCTGTAATTGCCTCCCAAAACATTAGTCTGACTCAATGGCGAACAATGGTTGATCAATGATAACGGTGTACAATGAATGATACTGTGGATATTAGATGATTCTCGTCTGCTGAGGTAAAGTACCATAGATTTGTGGAAGCCATTGTCCATGGAAATAGGTGATTTGCTCAAAATGAATCCAAAGTGGTGGTTTTGCACATCTGTGTCACTTTACAGGAAATTAACTATCGGCAACAGTTTACAAATTTGCCAGGGACTCCATGATTCATCAAAGAATCGGCTGCATCATGATTTTTTGCCGATTCAAATTGACGGATGCATCAACAATATCAGTAATCAATGGGAATCTCATGGATTTGTCAATGAAATATCGAGGAAAACCACCAATCAGTCTTCACAGCCAACGTGCCTGATTTGCCCAGCCTCAGACTGCGTCTGCCCTGTCGTCCTTGACAGTGAAATGCAAAGTTCAAGACCGGCTTGTTGGAAGACTTCAACTCCGGAATCCAAAACTAGAGACCATCTTTACAAACTCCAAAACTTTACCTTCGTTACAACAACTGGTCTCTTTGTAAAATCCTTGTAAACAATTGCACAAAAAAGGTCCACAAAGAGACTAGGCAATCCTCGAGGCAGATCAGTGGTTGCTTTCTCCTTAGATGCTTTTCCACATCAAGTATCTTGTGGTCAAAACATTGTTATATTATACAGCACTATATGGTTCTGTATGAACATGTATGAAGCATATTGCTCTCGGCAGGCAGTGCCCACACGGACTGATAGAACATAGCAAAATCAAGTACTTGTTCTTCCGGGTCATTTTACTGTTCAGTGACAAATCTCAAAACTACAGCACGTGGTGGCACCTCCCCAGATTTCCACAGTTTCTGCTGCTCCTTTGCAGCCAAGGGCGCTGCAAGTGCCAACCATCACCACGTGGCAGGCGTGTTTTGGCCCCTTCCCACCGTTCGGAACAAAGGTTGGTACATATGAATGTCCTCATTGTTCACATCAACCAACTAGTGAGGGGATATACCCTCTGGTTATGGCTGACATAGCCATGGTATAGATGGCCCATTTATAGAGGTTTACCGGTTTACCTATTAAAAATGGTGATTTTCCATGGCTATGTTAAATAACCAGATGGTAATCTCCAACAAATCCTTTTTTTCAAATGATGCTGAAAATCCCTCAAGTGAGACATTTACCGACACCTGAGGAAAAAATGATACACCGACCGTTAAAACAATGGAAATGCATTGTCCCGAACCAAACAATAATTAAGAATCATTCCACACCACGATGGAAACTAAAGAAAGCGGATGGCCTTCAATCGTTTTGACACATTTTAACAATCCATTATTTATGCAGATAAAAGTGGTATTCTGATGATTAGTTCTGAGAGATGGTGGCACCCAGACAATGGATGCGTCATGCGTCGTACTCACCATGACCATGCCGATGGACCATACCCCGTGGGTCCCACATTGTTGAAAACCAAAGAACCACTTGACCGGTTGATACCAGTTAAAATTTCAACAAACAAATGGGCCTAAAAAATCAGCCGGAAACACACCACTTCCATGTCACTTGAAAAAGGTGCGGGAACAGCAAAAAACATCAGCAGGCACACAGCAGCCTGGATTGTTGGGATGCCACCGATACATAATATATGATTATATATATATGTGTGTGTGTGTCATGTATGTTATGATTAATATCTAATATAAAGCCCTAATTCTCGGAGCTATAAACCGACTTGCCATATTGAAGGTTTATCCAAAGTCCAAGCGT